CTGACTGGGACTCCTATAGAATGGAGTTACAGGCCAAGACTAGGGAAATCTGTACAAAATTAAGGAACACATATGATCTTGAGAGGGCTGTGGAGGAACTCCAAAACGCCGTCACAAGATCATATGAATATAGCTGTCCTATCAAAGTGAGGTCCGACAAGCACACCGTACCCTGGTGGAGCAAGAAACTCACACAGTTGAGGGGACAGACAAGGACTATTCAATAGAGCAAAGCAGACAGGAGAGTGGGAGGCTTATAGAGCAACCCTCACTGAGTATAATAAAGAAATTAGGAAAGCGAAGAGACTCATGGAGGAAGTTCTGTGAGGATATTGATAGTGTCCCACAGTGTGCTAAACTCCAGAGACTTCTCTCTAAGAACGGTAATACGAAACTCGGGTCTCTTAAAGCACCGAGTGGGAAATACATTAAAACTGGAAGGGAGACATTGGAATTACTTCTAAATACTCACTTTACGGGCTCCAGGTTATTAAACCACGGAGATGAACATGACTGGGATCACCAGCAGAGGGTAACGACCGGGTCTCGACAGAACTGGGAGGTTGCCAAGACGGTGGTGAGTCAGTCACGAATAAGATGGGCAATAAGTTCTTCTTTTGACCCATTTAAATCACCAGGAGCCGATGGAATCCTACCTGTACTGTTACAGCAGGGGGTGGACTGTCTAGCTCCGGTTTTAATTCACATCTTTAGAGCCAGCATTGCACTTAGTTATATACCGCTGGCATGGAGATCGACGAACGTGGCGTTTATTCCTAAACCAGGGCGTCCATCGTATGCCCAGGCAAAGGCATATCGCCCGATAAGTTTAACATCTTTCCTCCTGAAAACGTTGGAGAGAATAGTTGACAGGCATATAAGGGACGGGGTATTGAGGGCAAATCCTCTGCACAGGTACCAATACGCCTATCAGGCAGGCAGATCAGTCGACACAGCCCTTCATAGCCTAGTCTCTAGGATAGAGAGGGCAATGGACGACAAAGATCTAGCTTTGGCAGCTTTTTTAGATATTGAAGGGGCATTTGACAATACACCTTTCGAATCTATTAATTCGGCAGTTCGCAACAGGGGCCTTGAAGACACTTTGTGTCGTTGGATAGATACCATGTTGAGAAACCGGACAGTAACAGCTACCCTTTCGGGAGAGACATCCAGGTGTAAGGTAGGCCGGGGCTGCCCCCAGGGAGGCGTACTGTCTCCCTTGTTATGGGGATTAGTGGTGGACGGCGCACTGGAGGGCCTTAATCGAAAGGGGTTTTATACACAAGGCTATGCGGACGACTTGGTCGTTCTCATAGTCGGGAAACATAATATTATCGTTTCAGAACTCATGAAAGAGGCTTTGAAATGGATAGATGACTGGTGTAAGGGGCAGGCACTGTCAGTAAACCCTGACAAAACGGTCGTAGTACCCTTCACCAGGAGAAGAAATTTAACTGGACTCTCTGAACCTATAATAGGGGAGAGGGGCATTACACTTTCCAGGGAAGTAAAATATCTAGGAGTGATACTGGATAATAAGCTTACCTGGAATGCGCACTTGGAAAAAGTGGTGAGTAAGGCGAAGCAGACACTGTGTGTATGCCGCCGCCTTATTGGGAAAACCTGGGGACTGAAACCAAAGATGTCACACTGGTTGTATACGTCGATAGTAAGACCCAGGATTCTTTACGGCGCGGTGGTATGGTGGCAGAAAACACAACAGACCACAGCGAAGGAAAAACTGAATAGAATTCAGAGATTGGCCTGTTTAGGTATAACGGGGGCGATGGCATCGACCCCGACAGCTGCACTAGAAGTCATGCTAAATCTGCCACCGCTGCATATAGTGGTGGAGAGAGAAGCGCGGCTAGCAGCATATCGACTCAGGAATAATAATGACTGGAGGGGTGGTTCCCACTCCAGGATCAAAGATACATCTATGTCGGAACCAATTCTTGGGATGGTATCCGACAAGATGGTTCCAAAGTTTCACTTCCACAAGCCATTTGAGACTCGAATAGAGGATCAAAGCGAGTGGGAGGAAAGGTTTAATACCCTGGAAAGGTGGAGCCTAGTATGGTTTACAGATGGCTCCAAAATGACCAGAGGGACGGGTGCAGGAATATATGGACTCAGACCCAGATGGAGTGCAAGCTACAGTCTGGGGGAGTTCCCTACTGTATTCCAAGCAGAAATCTTCGCGATAATGGCGTGTCTGGCAGAGAATGTACGTAGAGGTTATAGACGTAAACTCATATATATATTCTCTGATAGTCAAGCTGCAATTAAAGCTTTAGCCGCACACAAGGTAAGTTCAAAACTGGTGTGGGACTGTTTACAAATGCTGACTGAACTGGCCACCAACAATACAGTCAGACTGTGTTGGGTGCCAGGGCACAAAGGCATTTGTGGAAATGAGAAAGCGGATGAACTTGCTAGGAAGGGATCCGAGACAGTGTTCATTGGCCCGGAGCCCTTCTGTGGCACATCTCCCAGTGTGGTCAGGCGGGCTCTGGGCAAATGGACAGAGACAGAACATAGGAAATACTGGACTTCAAGGCCAGGACATAGCCATTCTAAGGAGCTTATGGAGTATCCTTCGAAGGGAAGAGCGAATGAGCTACTGAGCTTGAATAGAATCCGGCTCAGGAGAGTGACAGGACTCATAACGGGACACTGTCACTTTAGGAAACATCTACATAAGCTAAAGCTTGTAGACAGTCCGGTCTGCCGAGGATGTGAATCGGCGGATGAAACTTCTCTGCATATCCTGGGCGAGTGCCCGGGATTTGCACGTAGCAGAATGGCGCTCCTTGGGAGACCCTACTGGAACTGAGAGAAGTGTCAGCAAGGAAGCTTTTGGACTTTGTAAAAAGGACAAATCTACTTGCTGAATAGGACTAGTAGTGGGATGCACAATAGACCTAATCAGGCCCCAGTGCTATGGGACTTATTAGGACCAACCACTAGAACTAGACCTTACACTAGAAGTAGAGGAAGAAGAAGAAGACCCCCACTTCATGAATATCATCATCAATGGTGATGAGTCTTGGGTGTACGGGTATAACCCAGAAACCAAATCCCAGTCGTCACAGTGGAAGCATTCCACGTCATCAAGAGTAAAGAAGGCCTGCCAAGTGCGCAGCAACGTGAAAGTGGTGTGACTGCTTTCTTTGACTACCACAGTGTGGTATACCACGAGTACGCACCTCAGGGTAAAACAGTCACCAAAGAGTACTACAGGGATGTTCTCAGATGCCCACGTGATGCTGTGCGGTGCAAGAGATAGCTCCTTACTCTCCTGATATGGCCCCCTGCGACAAAGCGATTTCAGACAAGAGAGGATATTATGGCTGCAACAACAGCTAAATTAAACTCCATTCCGAAAGTGGCCTTCTCGGAGTGCTTGCAACAATGGCAGCACCGCTGGGAGAAGTGTGTGGAAGCCCAAGGAGACTACTTCGAGGGTGATTAAGTTTCCAATGCTCCAGGTATGCCAGTTTTTTTTCTTTGGCCAAAAGTTGGATACTTTTCTAACAGACCTCGTAAATTAAAGCAATCTTTTTATCCACATCTTTATCAACTACTTAATTGAATAACTTATAGATTGTTAATATAAGACTGGGGAATAAGTAATGTCCGTTTTTTTTTTCAAGATATTTTATCCTTTTATTTAACTCGCCTTGTTAGTATGGATCAAATCTTGCAACTGAATTTTAAAACAGTTATCCCCAACCGATTGAGCTGAAATTTTGCATACATGTTTAGTTTGGATGACAATGCATGGTGGCACTAAAAGCTTGTTTTTAAAAACATGAACTTGTTAATTCTACAATTATCAATATGCTAATCAGTGATGCATTCTCTATCGTTATTTATGACCTCTCAAAGTTTATCAAATTTTTCGATGCCTCTTCTGTAGTAATCCTCTGGTTTTGATTCGAAAAACATATCCAACCAAGTTCGTAACTCACTGTCGTTATTAAAAAAAACACTGCGTAAGGAGTTTAGCAAAGAGCGGAAGAGGTAAAAATTAGGAGGAGTGAGATCAGGAGAGTATGGCAGGTGGGACAGAACTTTCCAATTCAACTCCTGAATGGCCGTTTTGGTCATATTGGCGATATGTGACTACGCATTGTCATGTTGCAAAAAAAGATTGTATTGCCTATCCGGTCTTTTTTGTGGAATAGCTGCGTGGAGTCACCGTATTTATTGGACATAGAGTTCTGCATTGACAATTTGATTGTTTGGTAAGAGTTCGTAATAAAGAATCCCACCTGACACATAACACTGTCTTTCGAAAATGAAGTTCTGGTCTTGTCTGTGGAGTTGACTGTTTTTTGGGCCTTAACCATTCTTTCCGCTGTTTCAAGTTCACATACAGACACCATTTTTCAACACCCGTGACAATACGATGAAGAATACGTTCTTTATAACCACATATTGATCAATGACAACAGAGCAGCAACTGCGAAGCATCGACTCTTATTGTTTTTGTTCAAAACATGTGGGACCCACGTGTCGAGTTTTTGAACTTTTCCCATTGAATGCAGATGGTTTACTACTGTTTTGTGAACACCGCCCATCTCCTGAGCCTTGTTAATTATCTTGGATTTTCGTGAAAAAGTCGACTCAACTGCTCTTCATCAAATTCAACAGGGTGTCTGGAACGATTCACATCTTTGCCATATACGGCACAAATTTCCCAAGTAGTTTGAACGGCTTTAGCGTTTTCCTCTTCTCCATTAAAAACAAAAAGCAAGTGTTGAAAATAATCAATTTTATCAGCTTGACATTTCATTTCAAATTAATGAAAATTCATAAAAATTATATTTAATGAAGCAACCAAAAATACAACTGATAGATCAAAATGTCTTTCGAATGGCATGTGTCAATTTGCCAGTGTTTTTAATTTTCAAGTGAATTTTTAATTTGAAAACAACGGACATTACTTATTCCCCAACCTATTATATATTAATTTCAAATTTCCAACATACCTTCTTTGTACTTTTCTAATGATAACTGAAAGATTTGATATATAACGTATCGGTCAGATTGTTGCTGTTGTTGACATGCTACATTGAGAAATATTGTATTTAATATCGAATGAATAGCTTCTTCAGGGAAATATTTGAATTTGATTAATCTCAATATTCCTTGAAGTACTACAGGAAGTATCTACAAAAAAAAAAAATTATTCACTACTTCGCATTCAAAGGACGGCCGGTCTAATACCTTTGTAAATTTCATTTAAATAGCTTAAATATATAAAAAAAATATAAAATTTTAAAAATAGAAAAAACACTGTCAAAAATAAAGCAAGACATAACTATGCCAGAAATAATGTAGGATCATAACACAGTAAGTTACATAATATATAAAATGAAGTTACCAAACAACAAATTTATTGGTGTCAAAATAAGATGATTTTAATAAACTTGTTTCTTTCCAAAGTTGCTAGAGAGATAAATATTTTGTTTTTTTCCATGTAACTTCTGCTAACGATTTGTACAATTCAAATTGAATTAAGTTTGCTAGAACAGGTAAACCAAATTCATTTCATTGTTGAGAGGGATGCCACAGGGCAGTATACTTGGACCTCTCTCATTCATAGTTTTTGTAATGATTTTAACAATATAATTTTGGATAAAAGTAAACAATTTATCATTATCTATGCAGATTGCAGATCATACCAATAATTGATTAATAAAGGGATCTAATTATATGAATATATTGAAACTAGTTAATGTACCAATGAAATCGATGAAACTGGTTCCCCAAAAACAAATTAATTTTAAATAAGGATAAAACTGATTGCATCTTATTTAAAGTGAATAACTTAGTAGATGCTCCACTGAACATTATCAATATACTGAATTCTATGCTTTGCAAAATTTTTAGATGCATATACAGGGTGTCCCACCACGAATAGCCACTATCGATATCTCAGAAAGTACTTATTCGATAAATCAAAAAATTTGGCAACCTAGCAACACAGCTAAAATATTTAGGATTTTATGGCACTTCCAGTTATACTTCTTGTTATATGTATACTTGCTTTAAATTAAATATGATTATCTTTGTAAATGTAACATGTATTACTCAAAGATATATTTTTTGTCATAATTATTTTATTTACAACATTTCGTTAAATACCAAAATATCATACGCTGTCCTGATCTATTTCTTTGGCACTCTAGACGTAGATCTTGAAATTTAAGCAGAAATTAAATATGATTATCTTCTTAAAACATTTATTTTATAAAAATACAATCCAATGTTATATGGCTTTGTAAATGTAACATGTATTATGCAAAGATATATTTTTTGTTATTATTATTTTATTTACAACATTTCCTTAACTACCAAAATATCATACATTGCTCAATGTATTTCTTTGGAACTCTTCTAGATGTAGATCTTGAAATTTAAGCAACAAGCTGCCACTACATCGACATTAACTATCTTATTTTAAATGGGATACCCTACATCAGCGGTCGGCAACTAGCAGACCGCGGTCTTGTTCCGGACCTCGGAAGGTAAAATACTGGACCTCCAAAAATTTTTTGAAAGCATAATTACTCAAATTATTTAAAAAAATATATTTTTCTATAGATAACAATACGTTTGAACATTTTTTAATGGTTAGTAAGTTAGTAAAAAAAACTGACTCAAGACCGCAAATGTAATTTCTCCCATTGATTTTTTAATACAAATATGCCTATCTATTGTATTTCACATTATTTTGTGAGTGCATATTAAAATAAAAAATTAGTGAGGAATATGAACTTTTTTCTGAACCTCATTACATATTTTCAGAAGTATCCGGACTCCACCTAAAATTACTTGCCAACCCTTGCCCTACATATTATTGCATTTTCGGATTCTACGTGAAATTTGAAAGTCACTTTATTAAATATTCCCTATACCTAGGAGTAAAAGATTTTGAAATATTAATTATTCAAGAAAAAATTTGAGACGCAGGGGTCCGCGGAGATGCTAGTAACTCTTTTCAGGATGATATCAAGTGGATTTCTGGTACCTGTAAAGGGCATAGGTAACACTAAATTATAGTACACCAACAACTTAAAACATTTAATACTATGTGTTTCATTTTTGCTGTTACATTTTGAAGTTAATAGCTGTAGCTGTTAATTTAAATGGAACACCCTGTACTCTGTAGTATGCAGATTGAAATTTCCTTTCAAGCCATATTACTGTTTCCGTTACTACTTTTAGAGAACACTCCGAAAACAATTGAAATAACTTGACATTTGTCAAGTCAGTTGCCAAATTATTTATTGTGTCTATAATAGTTTTTGCTGAATTTAAATAAAAATGACTGGGGGTTGTTTAAATTACACTAATAAAGATTATTTTAATTTGTTTGTTATTTAAGGACGATGTACAAAGCAGCAAATTCTCTACATGTTCTTGAAATTACTTTGTCACATTGTCCAACAAATTAAAATAATCCTCACTACTATAATTTAAACTACCCCCAAGCATTTTTATTAAAATTTTCGGCAAAAACTTACTAAAAACTATTATAGACATAACAATAATTTGACAACAAATTTGACAAATGCCAATTTCTTAACAGCAACTGTATTGTTGTGCACAGGAGGGCCGTCTAACTGAAATAGATACTTTGTCTTTGAAATAAAATATAAAAATAATTGTCATATAAATATTTTTCATAAAATGCACCGTTATTGAGATAAATGGTGGTGAAGCTGTTCACTTTCATAGATTTTTTTAAATATCTTTCGAACTAATAATATTTAAAAAATATTTCTTACATTAGCCAATTGGTACTTAAAGTAATCCCTGAAACATTAACGTCACCACCCTGTATTTCGAAAGTTAAGTACCTACCCTATATTATTTCGCATTTCCTTCAACATTTTTCTTGATAGTTTCGTGTATAATTTATTTGAGTTTATTAAAAATTCAAAGATGGTATTTATTGTCTTTTATTTCAGATCTATTCAACATAACCCTGTAAACCTCAGCTAATGGGTGGACTTACTAATAGATTAAAGTAAAAAAGTCAAATCTGACCATGTATACTATGTTCGCCTTCTTAAAATAATAATATTGTACCGTCTAGGACTTGAGTCACTGGTGCTCCATACATAAACTTTGATAAATGGGAAATAGAGCTGTGCACAAACTATTTTGAATATATCAAAATGGATAAATTATATTTAAAAGTGACATTCTTTCTTAATCTCAAATTGTAGTTTTTATTTCATTACCATTAGGAAAGCTACACAAATTATCCATAGCACCCTGAATACTATCGCAACAAAAATTTGGATAGTAGGTATTTCTGGGGTCCTGATCATGAATCCGTGATTATTTTTGGGATAAAAAAATCTCTTATATAATTTTCTGGTTTTTAGCCTTATAAATTGCGTCATATTTGGACACGGTTTCGAATTTCAGAGAACACGAGGTATGTACGAGATAGATTTTTTGAAGGTGCATCCAACAAACACTTTTCCCAAACTAAATTTAGAATCAATATACGAGTTGTATATGTTACCGGCAATGTACAAAATCGGGCAATGTGCGAAATAATAATAATAATAATATCTCTACTTCTCATTCTAACTACTAGAATTAGCCCAGAAGTCGGAGACTTGTGCGGGAGAGGAGGCGGTATGTTATTATTACGCAGGCCGCGTTTGCGCCCAGGAACGACTTATGTTGGTAGGCCCTAACCACCATTCAGTGCAGGAATGAGGGAAACCTTAAAAACCTCATTAATTAGATTGGTGATCAAATGCCAACCGGTGTCAATTTCTCACATTAACCCAAGCCAACATTCTTCCACCCTACCATACCTGCACAGAGGGTGCCAATTCTCCGTACAAGCATAGCTAATCTACGGTCTGCCGGCCGCGGGATTCGAAACCCGGGCAGATAGCACACATCGATTTAAGTACTCCAATTCACCGGATATTATGCAAAACCAATACTACTTTGGGTAATCTGTAAATCTATTACGCTGTTTTAGGCAATCTGCAAAATGCCTGATCCGATAGTCAATCTGAGGATTAAAGGTGTTTACTCCTCACATTGACTAGGAGGATTTATGACGGTAGCTGAAGTTCTTGAATGTAAAACGAGTCTTCGATCAGCCGTATCTATTAGTTCTACCACCGGTGGTCAGGGAATGCTGAAATGCAACTGTACTAAAAAGTGATGCAATAAATCGTGCAAATGCTTTAAAAATAGTGTTGTGCAATAGTTGTTGTCACTTTTCTAATCCCTGCAAAATTAAATAACAAGTGTTTGTTAATCAACTTTTTGAAATGTTTTGTTGTACTATACTTGTATTTAGTAGCAAATGTATTTTTTATTTAATGCAGAAATAAAATATTTTCTGGCGATGTAACAGGTTTTTTTTCCAGTTTAACACACACAATAAATGTTGTTATTTATTTTCAAATTGTCTAGTCAATGCGAGGAGTAAACATCTTTAATCCTCGGATTTAAACGGAAAATTAACCGAATTAACCTTTGTTGTAGAAACAACGGTGGTCATTTTGAACAGTTTTTATAATAAGTTGTATTAAATCTAATAATATCGACTTTGTTACTTTTATCTCCAGCATTTTTTATTGTATTTGATTGTTTTTACATAACTCGTCGTATGTGTGTGCGTGTATCCATATCAAAGTAACATGTAGTATATCTTACCGTAGTAAACACTCATTAAGAATTGGCAGGTACAATGACTTAAAGATCAAACTGAAATTACAGTCAACCTACAAAATCAGTGCCTACTAGCACCATTAAGTATTGTAATATGGGTGGCAAGATAATGTAGATATTTAAAAAATATTTTTTTGTACCCAAACCGCCCATTTAATCAAAATTCTATAAGAGGCCCAAAAACTTCCAAATTGTATCACCTATCAAATAAAAAATAGTTATCATTATTGCTCGAAAGAGGAAAAAGTTATGAATGGATATTATCACCATACATCAATTTTATAAGAGTTGTAAGTTTTAAAAAACACTCTGTATAACACCAAAATTTGTAGATTGAATCGAATAATCCGTATTCCACTTATTTACAAAATTAAAAAAATTTTCACGAACTTTGAGGCCATCTAGCGGCCAAACGAAGCAATTGTTGATATAGGTGAATTAGCCTAAATCTGCTTATTTTGAGTCCTGGAATGTGTGGTCTTTTAGGTAATTATTTACTTTAGTGGCACCACCTCCAATTTTCCCAAAATTTTGTCTACCCCCCTATTTTCGATTGTGCTGAACACGAATCTGAAGTTTTTTTTGTGCGGTCGAACCCAGTTTTTGAGAAAAAAATTTTTCAAAATTCTAACCTGAATATTTCAGATAACNAATTGTCATGAATTCTTCAGTCGAGAAATTCATTTTTTTTTTTGTTAATCTACGATTACGAATTCACAATCATATTAATTTTTCAGTATATCAAATTATAAAATATAGGTTATCAGCAGGCAGGGTGACCAACCTAGTAGACCTTTTTAGTCACTACAGATCAGACTGATCAGAGACAACCCTCAACCATAGATATAATAGTATTTGGTTGGAGGCAAAGCTGACTTTTTGCGCATTTTAGCTGTTCCAACATGAACAGCGAAAACGGCGGAGATTTGCCCAAAGTCACGTGACCTAAAATGAAAATCGAACTACATTGTTTAAAATGGAATTCTATTTCTTATTAGGAAATTGACTCTTTCTGGTAGTAACATAACAAGTAAAGTGTTAAAAATATGAAAATATTTTTAACACTTTATTTTTAGGAACAATAATAAGCTTTATTAAATTTTTATACTTTATAAAACAATTTTTATATACATGAAATGTTTCTTATGCTCAAGAAGCATCTGATTATAGATATTTAATCCAAGTCCAAATTATATATGCGGATAGGCCAATGGATTACACGCGCCATTATTCTATGGCTAGAAATTGGCCTCAATGATTTGGGATCGAGGGGGATTATCCCTCTTTATCCTGCCTCATCTCGTGTAGGCCTGGACAGCCTTCGTAGGTGGGCCCCATCCGTCGTCTACCCCGACCGCAAATGCGGCCGGTGTAGGCGCTTTGTGGGACCTCCTTTTGTCCTGGCTGGGCCCCGCCGGCTAGGGCCCTTTCTTCTGGCGCTCTTCTTGCTTCGCCGGCTCGTCTGTGTAAACCCCGGGGGTAGTGTCATGTTTATG